ACATAATGACTTGATGTAAGGAATCCTACCTACATAACGACTTGATGTAAGGAATCCTACCTACATAACGACTTGATGTAAGGAATCCTACCTACATAATGACTTGATGTAAGCAATCCTACCTTCATAATAACTTAACCCCACAACTGAGGCCTGCAGTCAGACACCGCGAGCTCAGCGGTGGGACGCTCAATTATTTGGACAATTTTCAACTAATTTTTCCGTGTGTATGTTGTGCTTTGCTCTCCGTTGCACTTTACCGTTGGTAAATGAGGGTAGAAAGTGATGCAACATCTTCTTGGGAAAAGCGGGTTATCTTCATTAGAGAAAGTTATGGGATTTTTTTATTAAGTTTATATCCATATCGTCATGGTTTAACGTCTTCATAAGTGGCAGTCTAAAGTTTTTTTTTGTCGAAAACACATATAAAGCGACATAGAAATTAACAGCATTAAATCGAGAGAACCGAAGGTGAGAAGCGGAGTGCCACAGGGCTCGGTGATTAGCCCGGTCCTCTTTCTCATCCACATCGCCAATATCGACTAAAAACTCACCCACGCATTCATTTCGTAATTTGTCGACNCAGATACAAGAGTGCTGATGAAGATCACAGCGGGCTTGGTTTGGTAGAGGTTATAGGATGACTTGTTGACGATCTACGGAAAGGAACTTGCGAATTATATGCAATTCAACGGCGCCTAGTTGGAGGTAATGAAATAAAGAATTGGTATAGAGGTCGGGATGCTGTATCGCTCGCTACTTGGCATCAGATGCCACGGAATTAAAAAAAAAGCAACTCGTTCGATATCTCGGAGAGTTGATGAGTACAGAGGTCAAGGTTGGTGATCACATAGTGACAATGACTGCTGGTGGCAGGTGACAGATGGGTTTTATCTTTCGGAAGTTCAGAACAAGCAAGGCGGAACCAATAATAACACTCTTCAGAGCCATGGTGATCGCTCCTTTAGCCTCGTTTACGGCAGGCGCAGTACGGCAATTGCAAAGTGTCCAGCAAACCAGCACGTCCATGAACAGAGGGATGGAGGAGTTCAACTACTGGAGCGACTGGGTCTGTACTCTGTACTCACTGCAGAGGGGACCGGGCAGGTATATCATATCGTACACATGAAAAATAATATCTGGACTGTTACCTAACTTGGAAAGCGAAACCTCCAGGATAGTGACTATCGTATCGAGAAGAGGACCAAAAAGCCAAGGATTAAGTTAGTCACGCTGCACGTTAACCTCGTTGCTCCGCCGGTTGCGGGGCGACGTCTGATACGCGGCGGACGACAAAAGCGGCGCATCAGCGTAGCTGAGTGGAGCGAATACTTAGCGCAAGAACATAAGTGGCCGCAGAAAAACCAACAATCCATCCTACATAAACCGCCTATTATTAACGTTAACAAATAATGCATTAAAATCAGTTATAAAAAAATAACTACATTCAATTGCATGTAATAAATCATATTCGTCGTTCAACACAATATCAATGTCATTATGCAGCAATGCTTATCTTGACAAGGAAATGCAAAATGAAAGATAGAAATTCTAAGTAAACAAATTGACGTGATTAAAAAGCAATACATACACTTAATTTTACAAGCAGGACGTGTATTTTCTATTTACTAACAAAGAATTACTTTACAAATGCCACTGCTGCAGGATATTGCGGGGAGAGAAAAAATACTGCAAAGTGACGATGGATAATGCTAACTGGATATGACAGATGGAAATAGTCATTCCAAAATTGAAAAAGCAAATTGCAAGAGATCCATAAAATGGAGACAAGCAGAATATTACGGCGCATGGTTTAGCAAACCTAGTACGCTAGTGCCATGGAGGCTAGTAATGGTAGATTCAGTGGTTCCTAGTAAGTAGTAATAGCGGTTTGGCACTAGCCAACGTGTCCATCTCTCGTGTCTAACAAACAACAAAGTTTTTAATTTAATACGAATAACTTGAACACAAGACGGAACACAAGCTGTCCTAACAAAGGTTCAGCTATACACTTTAATACAAACACAACACTAATACAAAGATGACAACGACGGCTGTGTTATTTGCCTTATTTCTATTGGGCAGCAGCAGAAATGCACTTAAAAATACAAAACGTCAATAAAAGTAATTATAATTATAGGGAACTTTGAGAATGACTTCATAACACAAAATTTTATCTTAGTACAGACATAAAGTAAGACTCAAGTTAATATAATCTCATTTGCTGGCTCTACATTCACTTTAGAAAATCATATATAAAAATAATAGCCACAGCTAACGAAGCGGTACAAAAATTTCGGACCATTAAAAATATTCCAAAAGGTGGTTGACGTCTTCGTAAGGCGTTCACTAACGCCTACCTATTGAACACTTAAATATCATAAGAAATTCAGGGTGAAATTCTATATATTAGCTTCAAATTAACAAGGAAAGCATAGAAAGAAATTCTAATTCAGGACATAATTTAACATAACTTTATATAAGTTAAATTTTATAAAATTTAATTCAGCATGAAATTCGACATATAAACCAAGTATTTATTTGTTGAAAGTTGCTCTCGCTTTTTGAACCTTTCCGAAATGTTAAGATTGTACACTTTACCTAGGCAGTCATAACAACTTTTGATGAGACAAAAACATGTTCAAAAATTTCTTTTCTGCACCCTTATGTCATGTGTATCATTTCGTACACTCGTGCAGTTCCAAAATTCGACCCTGCTTAGAATACGATAATAAATTAGGCAATAGCGACACTTAGGTGGGTGGGTAGCTGTTAGCTGCCTATACCTATCATTTCTAAATAGGTCTCCTTTTATTTATTAGGCGTAGAATTAAACTTCAACAAAATATTACATTGCAAACGAAACAACTAAAGGCAAATTTCAGCGAACATTATTATTACAGCGTACACTTCATTCGCTTCAACGAAGCCATTTTTGGAAATTATCATACCGTATTAATTATAATGAGATTCGAATTGACATTCTCGTAACTAGTTGAGGACAAAGCATGTAACTAGCTGCTTACATTCAAATAAATGACTGGGTCATATAGACCAAATAGTGAAACATTCAGCACGTTACACCGACACTCCTATTTACTAGGTCACGATGACCCACACTAGGGCATCACTATTTAGGCTACTCACACATTTGTCTGAGTGTACCTATCCTAACTAGCTCATCTTTTCGCAAGGCCACAGAAACGCTTCATCAACTCATTATCTTAATCTCTAAGTAGATTACACTTAAATTAATCACATCGAAGTGTTCTTGCCTTTTAAGTTCATACTTCACTTCAAGAATTTACCGTTATCCTTTCTAATTATTGGTTCACGCGAAACTTGGGATCTAAGTGTACCCTTTAAACTGTAGGCAGTACACCTTCTGTACACATGTACACCTGTGTATCCCTGGTGTGTCCCGATTATCTTGCAGCCTACACGTGCTGTAAAATACGCTGCCACTGATACGCAAGTATATCTCCTGTGGCGTGTTGGCCACCGCTACAATGGTGTATAATGCACAGACGCCGATGACAATTATCGTCGGTCATCGTACTGCGACACACGACGATAACGCGACCATAAAGCGACGATGACGCGACCATACGGCAACATGATGCATGTTAGAGGCCAGCACTTTGCCCAATGCGTTCATTAATTTCATGTTCCTGCCCGTGCTCACGCATGCTACTGAGTAAAGTAGTCTAAGAAATTATGTGTTTATTTAGAGCCACAGCGCAGCCACTGCTACAGCCAGTACAGTCTTCACACAGGCTACACAGCAGCAAGCATCTGCCTCCACACTTACCCCGCTTCTCCACCCAAACATTTTCCGAACCTAACCCAACCTCATTGGCTGCCGCAAGGTGGAGAGGCGGGGGAAGCGGGGGGACTGGAGCCGGTCATTGGCTGCAGCTGGGAGGGGGGGGGCGGCGGGTCAAGTGTGGAGGTAGGTCATGCTGGGGTGTAGCCAGCGGACATACGGCGCTGTGGCTTCGAGGCGTCGCGTAACTGGGAGTTTCTAACATGTTTTGTGGCATCGTAGCTCTGAAGCTAAGCGTTGCTGTTCATGTTTATGCTGATCGTGGCTAGGGCGCAAGTTTAAGAGCTTAATTTGTGACCAAAGTCTGCGTTCGTACGGTATCGATAACGAGTTCTGACGGCATAAGCAGTACGGTAGCAGAGTTTCCCAACACCGGGAGGCGATTGGTACAATATCAAAGTATCGAGACGCCAGCTGTACATCACAGTAATGGTCTACCATTACCACGGACCGACAATGATAGTGAATACAAGGTGATGAATGATGGTGCTGAGAAAATAGCACCTCATTGCAGGTAGGTGCATGATATGCTGAGAGTACCGTGATGGTAATATTACAGTGAAGGTAACAGCAGCGAATATATACGGTTTACGGTGATACTTTGATGATGGACGCAGTAATCATATAAGAACAGATAGTAGTCATGATAGGAGAAGGTCTGTTGGAAGTAATAGTACTAGTACTGGTGTTCTAATAACAACGAAAGTAACCATTAGCAGTAAATTGCAGAAACTGGTTGCAGTGCAGCAGTTGTAAGTTCGCGCATCGCAGTAGCAGGCACTGCAATGCCAAAAAATGCTAGTAGCAAAAGGGAACGCAGTGGCAGCCGCTGATGAGGGATGGGTATGGTTTGGCAGGGGGTGTGCTGTTGTTTTCGGTGGTTTTGCGGTGCGGTGGAATTAAGAGAACCGTTCGCTTGGCACCATCGTGGCAACCGGCAAAGTGACTGCCGTGATGTTAGGTTACGACATCGTTACCGCAGCGAAGATGTTAGGTTACGACATCGTTACTGCCGCGAAGATGTTAGTTACGACATCTTTACTGCGGCGAAGATGTTAGTTACGACATCGTTACTACAGCGAAGATGTTAGGTTACGACATCGTTACTACAGCGAAGATGTTAGTTACGACATCGTTACTGCAGCGAAGATGTTAGGTTACGACATCGTGTATGTTGGCTGTCATGCTACTGTATGTTGGCTGTCATGCTACAGCATGCTGGCAGTCATGCTACTGTATGACGCAGCACGCACATTTGCTCTCCTTCTTAAGCACGACGTGCTGGGGGGCGGCGGCAGGCTGCGGGGGCGGTAGCGTTGTCAACGTAACTTCCACCGTCTGTTCTTGTTGTTGTTTATTCTGTTGTTGTTGTTGTTGTGTTGCTGCGCTGGGGTTCGGGGTGCCATTCTGAGAGCTGGGAAGGCCACCTAGGAAATAAATTTGATCAGTCTATGCTAAATTTTTCTTATTGCTAACGAAAACATCAGAAAGAATGTATTTGTGCATGCACAGTTTTCCTTTCACTTTTTATAATAATAAATGCAATTTGATAGTGATTTTTTATTCGGTGTGTTACTTTACTGCCAGATTAAAAGGTTTGCTTTTTACTTTTAATCCATTAACATGATTGGAGAGAGGAGAGTTTTACGTTTATGATGAAAATCGCAAGCAAAACGCCTTGCAAGTCTAAGATAATTTTTTAGCTTAAATTCTAAATTTACCAAGAATAGAAACTTAATCTTAGAATGCAAGTACAGACAATTGGTGAACCAAAATTCCCGTGACTGAAACTAAAATATAAATTAACAATTGGAAGACGGATCAATTTAAAAATGACCACAAACAGACAGGCCTATCTATTTATAATTATAAGATCGGCACATCTGAACGCAGAATTTAAACTACGCTTAATATTATATAATGAATACAATAAAATGAAAAGGGATCCTAAAATTGGTACCTAAGTCAAAAACTGGTTATAGAAGCTAAAATTTTGAAGGCCACCTCACTGCTCAGCATGAATTCGAATAGCTGAATAAAGATGATTTGAAAGTAGATTTCCAGTTCGATAACTCATTCCGTTATGCTCCGCCAGTCTATCATAAGAGTTGAGTGACATTATCCTGACGAAATGATGATGCGCATTGTGTACAACTGAATTTATATCTATAGAGACATGCGCATACGTGTGTTCAAGTCCAATAGCGACTTGAGACTTTTGGCTTACATCATCGGTGTTTCTATCTCACGAGTTTTAGAGTCCCTGTTCGTTTTCAAAATGATCTTCTGCAAAACTACGGAGAATTTGTTGTGCCCTTTTCTTTGATTATAAATTCTTGATGAAGTTACAATTCACAAGTCACAAGTCGCAACAATCTTTACCGTGCACCAGTCCCGCGTCGGTCCTGGTGACAGCCTGCTCAGGCACGGGACTGGGACTGTCCCGAGTTGGGGAGGAGTGTGTGGGTGGTGGGGAGGGTGACCCAGCCCCAGGCTCGTCCCCCCCGTTCAACAAGGGCTGGCCGCTCTTGATGCGCTGCACGATAGCGTCTGCCTCGCGCCAAATGTCCCCGTCGGGGCGGAAGGGGTTATCGCGCCCGCTGTCGCTGCTGCAACAAAAGGGGGGATTAGCGAGGGGAACTCGGTGTTAGGGAGGGCTTAGTGTGAGCGGAACTCGGTGTGAAGGGGGGCTTAGCGTGAGGAGAACTCAGTGTGAAGGAGCCTGGAGGGCTTAGCGTGAGGGCAACTCAGTTTGAGGAAAGCTCTGAGTGGGGAAAGCTTTGAGTGAGGAAGGCATTGAGTGGGGAAGGCTGGGGACATTGCTCCGGGCTTTCAATTCTGACAAGAATAGGGGATTTAGTGTGAGAGGAGTTCGAGGAAGGTGGAGGTCGAGGAGCTAAGATCACCAAGATGGTAGCCGCTAGTCGGGGATTCGAAACCCGCAGCTAGCTTTGAAAACTCTGATTGAAATCAGCAGTGGTCGGGTGGTTAAAAATCGGCCACAGACCACTAAGTCGACACCGCTACAAGTAATACATTAGTAACTTCTACATCACAATTCTTCTACATAGTGGCACGATTTATTCCATATCTGGTGCCTCGATTTCAGCTATTTTGGAATGCTTCATATTTTTAAACGGAAGAGCCTTGTCTTAACAATGCTTCCAGTTTTTATACACTTTTTTATTAACTTTAATTGTAATAGACAAATTTTATGCCCCTTGGATCGCACATTTGGTATACTAAGGGTTTAATATATTTTGTGTTGATTTTTGTCTCTATTGATTATACTTAAAGCTTTGAAGTGATAATGGACCATGTTTCTGAAACTTTCTCAATGAAAATATGGAGAATTTACTTCGTGGCCTATTCCTTGCGTTAAAATTCTTCGTTAATTCTAGGTCAGAAAAACGACTTGCATCAGTACTAACAGTAAAAATAATAAAATAACGCTTATATATAATAATAAAGGTGCTAATTTATATAGAGGCGCTCATGTGACTATTATATATAATAATAAATTTGCCAGTACATGTAGAGGCGCACATGTGCATATATACATGTAGCGATCAATTTCTTGTCGATGATTGGACGGTATAGCTTGAAAATTCGTCAGTGATTGGATGATGGAGTAACGAAGTTGTAACTATTTTTGATAAGTAGTTTAAGTACGGAGCCTAGTTAAGGTTGTACAACGTTCACAATTACGAATTTTCTGCACGCTGGGGAAGTTAGGCCGGCTTCATGACAGTCGCTATGACTTCATACTAAACCACATTATCATAAAACTTATAATGGCGTCATGAATGTTGTTAATGATGATATGACAATAATGATTATGATGAATTTATTATTAAACTGTATTTACTATTTACGGGCGGTATCCACGATGGATTTATACGCAAGCCAGAAAATTAATCGTATTGACACGCAATTAAGTATATACACTGACATTTGAGGCAGGTTTATGGTCGGCCAGTGATCTGGCGGCAACTCATACGAGCCAGTACGGCAGCCTGTGTGGCTTGTGTGGCTGAGGTCAGTACGGCAGCCTGTGTGGCTTGTGTGGCTGAGGTCACTAGGAAGAACGCCCCATCAATTGGGGCTTAGATTAGGTCGTTATTTGGTCCCACATCAGAGCTAGCGGAGGATATCACCTCTGGGGGTCAATGGGTCTATTAATGGGGGAAGAAATCGGTTCTGTAGAGCAAGAGGTCGCAAGCTGCACAAGAAATCAAATTTTCTAAAATACAACTTAATTTTTCTTTCAATCAGGTGATGCCTGTTAAGGTACACGACACCTGCCAGCAGCGAAGGAACACGATAGAAGGCACGACAAAGAAGGCACGGAAGGCACGACAAAGAAGGCACGGAAGGCACGACAAAGAAGGCACTGAAGGCACAATAGTCAACACACTCACCGCCGTGGCAGTGCCGGCAGTGCATAGAACAGCTGGCCGCCGTGAGATGGCACCATGGCACCTAACTGCCACCTAGTGTCAATGCACCACTAGTGCCGGACTATGGCACCTAGTGTCACTAGCTGCTCCACTAGTGCCGAACTATGGCCCCGAGTGTCACTGCTCCACTAGTACCGGACTAACTATATACCGAGCTGGAATCACTAACCGACCACTAGTTACTACACTGATAAAGTGACGTCGTTAGTACCGTGCGTGTCTACCGGGCATTGCTTTACCACTTCTGTTACTGAGTAAATCGAGGTAGATACACCCCGAAAATTTAATAGGTCATATTGCCCAAATAGTGATACACCTTTGTACTCACGTAGCACTTTTGCTGAGCCAACCTGGGTCACAATGACCCACACAAGAACAAAAAATATAACTCAGTACTCTCTGCAGTGAGTGACAGAGAGCGCATTTTCTCGACGACGAAAACTTGAGATCACGGACGGACGGACAGACGGACGGACAGACAGACGGACATGGCGAGCACAATAGTGCATTTTTTCCATAAATGAGAAAATGAGCTAAAGAGAGCAGAATAAAGGAACTAATGTCATGTGGCGAAGCATTAAAATGTCCACCTTATCCTTCACTTTGATCTTTCTCTGATAGACTCAAGGAAGGTAGAAGACGAAATAGCAAAATTAAATATTTGAACAGTAGAAATGAAGGATTAACGGCGAGAAATACACGACAAAATGCTAGAATCTAAACGGATAAATTGTAGGGAAATAGATTCGTATATTCGTAATATCAGCGATTTTATTGATTAAAGAAGATAAGAGTTCCTTCGCAAACTTCGGCGCAGGTGTTAGAAAATTTTGGAGGAGGAGTAAGTAGAAATATCGTCTAAGTGAGGGGATATCAAATTGGAAATTCGGTTATTTCGAGAAAATCTACGGACATTGCGCCGAACATTTAATTATCTTTCGGTATATGCCTGCTGCATCGGGCAGGCGAGGAACACGCGACTGCAGGCAGGCGAAATACATGCCACTGACTCAAGCAGACAAGGAACAGGCGACTGCAGGTACACAAGGAACAGGCGACTGCAGGTACACAAGGAACAGGCGACTGCAGGTACACAAGGAACAGGCGACTGCAGGTTTCCCACCGCTACTAACACTCCCCTTCCCCCGCTGCTGACACTCCCCTCTCCCCTTCCCACCGCTACTAACACTCCCCTTCCCCCGCTGCTGACATCATACTCAGAAAAATAAGAAAAAGCTACCAATTGACTCAGGTCAGAATTAGGGTTAATACAACCTACGCTGGAACGACATTTTCCCGTCCTTTTCTTCTATCCTTAGAAAACATAAATAACTCTTCATCTAACACGCGATTACTTCACACAAAATCACGTTATCTTACGCTTGCGATAAATAATGAGCTATATTAAAATAAGATTACTCTGTATAGACCATAAATTAGGTGACGTTCTATAGAAAAGTTACATCGAATATAGCGCGACGGAGGAACACCGCACTCGCACAACCACCCAGCACGGCGGCACACGCGGCACTGACGACGCCCGGCCCGGTGTCGCTGGCGCTTAAATTGTTTACATTTACATTAGGCAAGTTACCCTTACATTGTTTACACTTACATTAGTCACCCTTAATTGTTTACACTAACATTAGTTACCCTTAATTGTTTACACTTACATTAGACACGTTGCCCTTAAATTGTTTAGACTTCATCAGGATCTCTCATCAGTCTGCATTGACTCAATTAACATTCTAATCAACAACATAGGTTGAAAGATGGATCAAGTCACCAAAGGAGCAGGACCAAGTCACCACAGGAGCAGGATCAAGTCACCACCTGTCTCTTATACACATCTAGATGTGTATAAGAGACAGGGTTTATGGTCGGCCAGTGATCTGGCGGCAACTCATACGAGCCAGTACGGCAGCCTGTGTGGCTNCTGGACGAGGATATGTGATGATGCGCGCGTCGTCATCATAAATGATTATGGTGATGATAATAATGGGCACGAATACTACAAGGTATGACTTGTCTTTGCCAGCAGCGCAAGCGCCGGAAATAAAATTTCGAATTTTGAGCCGGGAGCGGCATTAATCTTAGCCCGGTCTGCAGCGATTTAGCCGGGCAGCCGTGAAACAATATCCGGCGATCTATCTCTAAAACAGCGCTACGCTATTGCTGATATAAATAGACTCCAACAGCCCAGCCCTGCCGGAATGCGGCGCTGCAACGGCGCTGGGAAGCGCGGCAGAGAGCCCAGCAGAGCCGTCATGCCGGCCGTGCATTTCAAAGAGGTTATTTGGGCGGTATTTTTTATTTCGAAAGGGAGATAAGGAGGAGGGTAAGAGTAGGAAGCAGGCGAGGGAACATGATCATTTATCTACTTTATGTGGCGTAATACGGCACTTCGAATCGATTTCTGACGCCACTAGGCATTTGAATTCTTATAATTACGTAAGAATGATATTTTTCACCGTTTGAATACACCCTCAAAATGAAACGTTTACGCTCAACGGTGCTTATACTAAAAGGATAAATCAATCAGTTTGTCCTGAAAAATTCTGATTGCACAGAAAGCGTAGTTAATTTCACTTCCAACCGACCAAATGATATCAATCTCATGCTTGAATAACCGACGAAAATTTTAATAGCTTAAAAAATTGCTTCGAAATTTATTACTTTTATTCAAACGATCCAATCTTAAACTTCATCTTGCAGCTGATATTCAGAACGTTTTCACACTGCTACATTATTAATGTATTTAATAAATGATAAATTTGACTGAATTCATCAATGAGGCATAGAGGCTGTTCCAGTGAATGAATATAATGATAGCTAAATTGCGATACAAATTGAGATCTAAATTATCCAATTATGTCCCGTGCTTATATATTAAGCTCTACCCGAGGATCGGGTTCGTTGACTAAGTTCGTGAGGGATAAGTAAGACACATCTGCCCAGATAACGTATCTTATATACGGGGATACGGGGTGGTAATACAGAGTTGTGATACAGAGTAGAAGCTACGGTGTCGACCGTAAGGTCGGAGAGCCGAACGACACGCTACATCGCGGAGTGCTTATCAGCTACCGTACAGCGGGGGCTTACTTAAGGTTGCAGCCCTTATATAGACTTCTGGCTTCCGCCCACTACTAAGGTCTTGATCATGTGATCTATCACGTGTCTACCAGATGTTGACTCGTCATCAATCTCTATCAGGTCAAGTGAATATTACGTTCCAATTACATACAATATAATAATTATAATGAGACGCCAGATTGACATCGGACAATTACATTCAACTGGTAGTATCCTGCGAAGTCATATAAATCAAAGAAAGATCAGTTCCTGATTCATATAAAAAAGATCGATGAAACGAACAAGAATGACATGTCGCTAGCCCGAGAATCTTGGCTTCTACCTAGAGAAGTTGTAGGAGAGATACGCGCTTCTCTGCCTACATTCGTCAACGATACTGAGCACCAAAATCTTAACCCGTTCAAATATTTATTTTTCAACTGAATAGTAAATGTGTTCATTTCTCTATAATTAATTTAAATGAATAATATCTACCCAGATACATCATAAATGTAACAATTCCTCGATTGGATGGACGATAGAAAGTCATTTGCGCCATGGTTAAGTAGTTGATAGAGCCCAATATAGGTACTATGTGTCTTGGTGGTCAAGCTGGTTGAGAAGTAGAGTTTGTACGCTGAGGAGTAGCGTTCTCATTCCGGAGCTGTCGTCGATGTTCCTTTCAGTGAAAGTTATTACACGTTTCTGTATTTTTGTAATATAATTTGTTAGTTTCGAATTGACGATACTAGTGTTAATAAGTTGTGAATGCCGACAACGAATGACTATAGACTTTTATGGTATGAATGAGGTATCAGAGATCTCGGCGCGAGAAGGTAGAAATATTCTTAAAACTTTGTCGACAAACGGTGAAGTTCTGTGGTTGCGTGCTGCCAGAGCCGATCTAGAGCCGGTATTGAGCTGATTAGAGCAGATGGGGCTCGGTGAGGGCTGCGTGGCGGCAGAACGAACAGAGCCCACCAGAGAAGGTGCTTGGAGGCTAATTAGCGCTGCTACGCGACTGGAGACGTCGTCTCAACTGCAGACATTCCTGCTCTGTCACGTTTCTATGTATAGTTCCACGGCGGCTATGGTAAACTCTATTCCGGGCTCTAAATTTTAAAAGGGATGGATAGCTGCGACAGCTAGCAGTGCAGGGCTATTGCGACAGCTGAGAGGCTGTTTAATCCGGGTACAACCGCCCTCCTCTTCTTCTTCACAATTCGTCGGGTTTGAGCTATTTTGCGCGATGCATACAAAAACTGGGTAATTCGAGGGAGAAGGGGTGGGGGAGAGGGCTGACGGGAGGGAGATGGGTGAGAGGGTGCGAGAAGGTGCATGAGGGGTGGAGAGTGAAGTTATAAAAAAAGTAATGGAGTCAGCGAGTATAAATAACTGAGGTGACGTTAAGAAAATTACCACTGCACGAAAGGCTCAGTGGTAGGCACTGCATCCAAGGCTGTGTTTGCCACTGGACGCCCGCACCGTGGCCATACAGCCGTGGCTGCCCATACCGTGGCCATACAGAAGGCACGCTGGCCGCCCATACCGTGGCCATACAGATGGCAAGCTGGCCGCCCATACCGCGGCCATACAGATGGCACGCTGGCTGCCCATACCGCGGCCATACAGATGGCACGCTGGCTGCCCATACCGCGGCCATACAGAAGGCACGCTGGCCGCCCATACCGTGGCCATACAGATGGCAAGCTGGCCGCTCATACCGTGGCCATACAGAAGGCACGCTGGCCGCCCATACCGTGGCCATACAGATGGCAAGCTGGCCGCCCATACCGCGGCCATACAGATGGCACGCTGGCTGCCCATACCGCGGCCATACAGATGGCACGCTGGCCGCCCATACCGCGGCCATAGATGGCACTCTGGTCGCCCATACCGCGGCCATAGATGGCACGCTGGCCGCCCATACCGCGGCCATAGATGGCACGCTGGCCGCCCATACCGCTGCCATAGATGGCAGGCAGTTGGCACTCGCAACATCGCCGCGTGCCAAGATCAGCGCCACTTCGGCATGCCAAGCCACGCACGCCACTTGGGCCACCTCGCCGCGCCGGCAGTCTCCATCTCAGCCGCGTACCGTTAACACATCCCGTAAAACATCCGGTGATACATCAACTGAAACACCCGCTCAAACAGACGTTGAAGAAGACAACTGCACTATACGCTGAAACAGGGCTTGAAACTTCCGCTGAAACAGTCGTTTATTCATCCGCCGAAACAGCCGTTACTGTGCCGGGTGAGGTGGTATAACCGGTAACTCAACCGTTGACATAGCTCTTTTAATACGCTCAGTACATTACTGGACACACGTCGTAACACATCCGTTAATACGTACATCCCATCAAACAGCCGATTGACCATTCAATAAAATAACTGCATATATAAAAAATAGCAGCATATTGCAGCTAATTTTGAGTAGAGTTCATTCCGCCAGTAAACAGATGTGCATTGTACAGTAACTGGACTATCAACACACAGTATACAGCCCCGTGTTGTACAGTAACTGCACTACCAACACACAGTATACAGCCCCGTGTTGTACAGTAACTGCACTATCAACACACAGTATACAGCCCCGTGTTGTACAGTAACTGCACTATCAACACACAGTATACAGCCCGTGTTGTACAGTAACTGTACTACCTACACAGTATACAGCCCGTGTTGTACAGTAACTGCATCAACAACACACAGGGATTCAACAGTAGTTTTGACTTACTTATTATGACCGGACGCGCTGCTCAGAATCGCATCAATTCTCGCCTTGTGTGAAAAAGGGCAGTAGAATATACATATTATACTACTTACATTGTAACTGTCTATATTTTAGGCAGTTACATATAATATGAAAATATTATGTATACATAAATGTATATTTTTATATTCTTGAATGTGCTTGTGTGACGACTGAAGCTTTTGTTAGTATTACGAAACATTTTTGTTGATATTTTATGAATATTTGTCGAAGTGTGTGTGATGTACGCAAGGCAACGCAATATATAGGGGCTGTTGGGGCGCGATACTTATACTTATCGTATCCTACTAGCGATACTTATACCAGGATACTTATCGTGCCCGGATATTGCCTACACCTGAGAATTTATTCTACCAGAGAAATTCAAAGAAGTGCAAATTATGTGCCATTTAGAATGAAAATTGATAATTAACAAATTCATAACACACTAATAAACTTCCTAAAATATATTCAAGATAAATACGTTTTACACACATAACATTGAACAATATACAAAGATTATAAGTATTTTCAACATATGGCTTCAAATAAATTTGAGAATGACTGGTTATCCGCGACAGTTGAATTGGCCGAGACCAGGCCGCGGATTATTTTCAATAGGGGAGCAGCGACCGCGTCGCTATTTGGGGCGTCGGGCGCTAGACGCTTATAGCGCGGCGCTCTGTGGCGGGGCTGGTGGTTCACGATAGTGGTTCACACGCTACACGCTAGTGGTTCGTATGCTGCACGCTAGTGGTTCACACGCTGCACGCTAATGGTTCGCATGGTGCACGCTATTGGTTCACACGCTGCACGCTAATGGTTCGCATGGTGCACGCTATACGCCAGCGGGTTACACGCTATACGCCAGCGGGTTACACGCTGCGCGCTAGTGGTTCACACGCTACACGCTAGTGGTTCACACGTTAGTGGTTCACACGCTGCACGCTAATGGTTCGCATGCTGCACGCTAGTGGTTCACACGCTGCACGCTAATGGTTCGCATGGTGCACGCTATACGCCAGCGGGTTACACGCTGCGCGCTAGTGGTTCACACGCTACACGCTAGTGGTTCACACGCTACACGCTAGTGGTTCACACGATACACGCTAGTTGTTCACGGTCCACACGCTGCACGCTACCGCTTCTTCCGCAACACGCATAACTCTTAATTAATGTCATTCCTCCCTGATAAGCTTATTAAACGCACGTCACATACATTTCAATCTAATGACTCGCGTGCTCTCTTCATCACAATGCTATTCCTACGAGTATTGCTCAGTTGTTCGTGCAGTGGAGTAGGGGTGGTGGAGGGGAGGCGAGGAAGGGTGGTCGGAGTGAGGGGAGAAAGGGTGGTGGAGGGGAGAGGAGTAAGGGTGGTGGAGGGGACTGATGATGGGAGGAAGGGTGGAGGGTAAGGATAAGACCATTAACAAAGTGGGCGCCACTTGAAGCCACTTGCCTCATGTGTTGAACACTTCAAGTTGAAGTGGAAGTTTGGACGCGACTCGACAACGCTAGGCTGTTTAGTTCAAGCCTTAGTTTGTTTACGACGCTATTCCAACACTAAGTGGAATGTATGAGACTTTGTCAATATGGTGATGCACTTTTTGCTCTTGCGTGGGTCACCTCACTCAGTTAGCCCGGCAAAATTGCGTATCAATACTACGTGCAGAAAGTGTGTCACTATTTGGACAGAATGACCCAGTCATTATACTGAGTGTGGAAAGGGCGCTAGGGGCACGTATGGATCCCCACCCTCTTCCCCATCAGTGCACAGCTGAGGGGGGTTACAAATGTATACCCTATAGAACGGGTATACAAAAAAGGTATACAAATGTATACCCTATAGAACGGGTATACAAAAACGGTATACAAATGTATACCATATAGAACGGGTACCTATACAAAAAAGGTATACAAATGTATACCCTATAGAACGGGTATACAAATAAGGTATACAAATGTATACCTTAGCTAGCCGCGTACGAGTGTTCATGCGGCACGTATTTGAGAGCAGCGAGTCGTGGGTTTGAGCTCTGGCAAGCTGCAAACATTCTACGAAGTCTTCTGTGGGCTGGCGTTAGAGCGTAAATGTCGTTATTATATAAAAAAACATTTACCGATAACGTTAAAATTAAAGATAAGAATTCTATACGGAGTCGCGTGTGACGGGTCTTAGAGCGTTTAAGTTGTTATTATATAAAAAAACATTTACCGATAACCTTATAATTATAGATAAGATCTCAGGCATTGACATGGAGTTTTATTGCAGGTTGTAGGGAGGCGGAAGCTCGCCAAGCGTCGCCATGTCGGGTCTGGACTGGAAAAGCTTCAACGAGGACCTGGACGCGTACAAGCGGCGGCACCTCAAGGCCGAAATCGACTTCAAACTCATTGTCAGTGGCGTGTGTGGCTCGTCAGGGGCGTGTGTGGGTCGTCAGTGGCGTGTGTGGCTCGTCAGTGGCGTGTGTGGCTCGTCAGTGGCGTGTGAGGCTCGTCAATGGCTCGTCAGTGGCGTGTGAGGCTCGTCAGTGGCGTGTTTGGCTCGTCAGTGGCGTGTGAGGCTCGTCAGTGATGTATGTGGCTCAGCAATGGCTCGTGTGTGGCTCGTCAGTGGTCGATATGAGTGAGGCATGCGCCACAAACTGTCATCTAAATTAAAAAGTATAAAATGAAAATATATCAATAAAAATTATATGAAATGTAATATGGTCCTGATATAATGAAATACCGATAGAAAATTCATTAATATATTACTAGCTCCAATCATGGTGATAACTGCAGCTGCAGTCACTAACTGCACTGTAGCTGCAGTCACTAAATGCTCTGTGGCAGTAGTTACTAACTGCACTGTAACTGCAGTTGGAGAGGAGGGCGGCGGCGCAGAGCAGGTTGAAGGCAAAGGCTATGAAGGTTGAAGTCACCAAAAACGAAGAAACAAAGAGCGATGCCACGAAGGCCGATGCCGCGAAGGTTGCTGCCGCGAAAGCTGATGCCGCGAAGGCCGGTGCCACGAAGGTTGCTGAAGCGAAGGTTGATTCCACGAAGGTCGATGCTGCGAAGGCCGTTGCCACGGAAGCCGATGCCACGACGGCTCTGAATGTGAAGCCTAAGCCCCTCCGTCGGCAGCACCCCAGACACCCCCTGCGCAAGTTCTACCTCAGCAAGGTGAGTGGCGAGTTGTACCTCGCACGTGATGGTGTGCGATAGTGCGTGGTATGTGCCTGGTTAGGTAAGCATTACGTGAAGAACATGAGCAACATCCACGTACGAGCATTCATCTGTAGTCACAATTTATTACACTCGCATGTACAAAATTCGGGTACAGCTTTGGCTTCTGCCTAGGAGTCGCTTACACTCGGCTAGGAGTTTTTGTTTCTGCTCGGCCAGCTGATCGAAATCAGGTTCTATTCAGAGTCTCCTTTTCGACTTCCTGTCCTGAAAGTATGATGAGTAGTGTGTCACAGCTAGGAGTGTGTCATGTTAGTATGACAATTATGTCATGATAATATGCCAATTGTGTCAGGATAATATGACTAGGGTTGGTCTAGCCATCCATGCCGAGCTTGCAAACTGCTTAGGGGCGGCATTTCAATCCCGGCCGAAGCGGACATTAGCGGCTGATCTACGTTCTGCCAGACCCCTGGGCAGCACCTGTAGCTGTGGTCCGCATCTAAATCTTGTTGTAAAGATAGTCCCAATTCACAATCTCGCGTAGTCACAATCATCAAATTCGCCCTGACGTTCCCTTCCCACCCGCAGAAGGAGCAGCGTCTGCTGGCTAAGCGTCGCGATCTCCAGCATGCCCGTCTGCAGGCACGTCGCCTGCGACATCGACAGGCGCGTCGCCAGCGTCGTCTGGAGTACCTCAAGACCCATCCTGAGGAGGCGGCCGCCCTTGGCTCGGCCATGCAGGCGAGGTCGAGGCGAGGAACCAAGGGCGCCAAGGCGGAGTTGAGCGAAGAGGAGAAGGCGAAACAGGAGAAGGCAGCTCAGGAGAAGGCTCAGGCGAAGGCCGCCAAGGATGCGGCGAAGAAAGCTAAGGATGCAGCTGAGCAGGCGGCGAAGCAAGAGGCGCTGACGGCGAAGCAGGCGGCGTTAGCGGCCAAGCAGGAGGCGGCGGCCGCCAAGAAAGAAGCAGCGGCGGCCAGGAAAGAGGCCAGGAAGAAGGATAAGGGAGAGGACGAGAAGGCACTGAAACCAGAGAAGAAAGAACCCGTGCAGACGGAAAAACAATCAAAGATAGCAGAGGCGCCTAAAGATGAGAAGAATCTAGAGGCGCCTAAAGATGAGAAGAAACCAGAGGCACCTAAAGAAGAGAAGAAACCAGAGGCTCCTAAAGAAGAGAAGAAACCAGAGGCTCCTAAGGAAGAGAAGAAACCAGAGGCTCCTAAAGAAGAGAAGAAACCAGAGGCTCCTAAGGAAGAGAAGAAACCAGAGGCGCCTAAAGAAGAGAAGAAACCAGAGGCGCCTAAAGAAGAGAAGAAACCGGAGGCGCCTAAAGAAGAGAAGAAAGCAGAGGCGCCTAAAGAAGAGAAGAAAGCAGAGGCTCCTAAAGAAGAGAAGAAACTAGAGGCGCCTAAAGAAGAGAAGAAACCAGAGGCGCCTAAAGAAGAAAAGAAACCAGAGGCGCATAAAGAAGAAAAGAAACCAGAGGCGCCTAAAGAAGTGAAGAAACCGGAAGTACAACAAAAAATTGAAACTAAAATAGCTCCTCTTCAGCAAGTTGAAAAGAAANGAAGAAAAGAAATCAGAACCTCCTAATCAGGAAGAAAAGAAACCAGAACCTATTAAGCAGGAAGAAAAGAAACCAGAACCTCCTAAGCAGGAAGAAAAGAAACCAGGACCTCCTAAGCAGGTAGAAAAGAAACCAGAACCTCCTAAGCAAGAAGAAAAGCAACCAGAATCTCCTAAGCAGAAGAAACAAGAACCTCCTGAGCAGGAGAAGAAACAAGAACCTCCTAAGCAAGAAGAAAAGAAACCAGAATCTCCTAAGCAAGAAAAGAAACCAGAACCTCCTAAGCTGGAAGAAAAGAAACCAAAACCTCCTAAGCAAGAGAAGAAACCTGAACCTAAGCAGGAGAAGAAACAAGAACCTCCTGAGCAGGAGAAGAAACAAGAACCTCCTAAGCTGGATGAAAAGAAACCAGAACCTCCTAAGCAGGAGAGGAAACCTGATTCTCCTAAGCAGGAGAAGAAACAAGAACCTCCTAAGCAGGAGAATAAAGTAGAACCCCCTAAACAGGTAGAGAAACCAGAACACCCAATCCAGGAGCCGAAACCAGAAGCTCCTAAACATGAAAATAAATACGAGTCTGAGAAAACCCCCAAGAAACAGCAGAGCAAAGAAGATAAAAGGAACCAACAACAACATAAGCAGAAAGGGTCTGTTGGTCAGGCTGATGCGAAGTCAGCCGAAGTCAAGGATACTCCCGCGTCCAAAGATCCCGTTGGTCAGTTAGGTACCGGAACCGTTGAGGCCCCCAAGCCTCAGCAGAAGGGCGCTGATGTCAGGCAGCAACAGGGACAAGGGAGGAAAAGAGGAGGCAAAGGAAGTGCGAAAAATTCTGAGAGCGAGAGTGAAGCGCAAGTGAAACCTGGACAAGTTGGTGGCATGCCTCAAGCCCATGATAAAAAAACACCCCAGCCTTCCGAGAAACCGGATCTTCAGGCAGAAAAGCGGAATGGTGGTCGTCGAAGTCAAAAAAGTTCTGAATCTGAACTAGCAAGAGTCCTCGAGCAAGGAGTACCAGCTGAAAAAACTCAACAACCCCCAAAGGACGCGTTGGATCAAGGAGTACCAGCTGTCAAGAGTCAGCCACCTCAACCCACTAAGAAAGATACTGAGGCACAGAGGAGCCAGAAAAATTCCGAATCAGAGCAACAGGGAGCTCCGACAAAGCCTCAAGGTCCGCCACGTATCCCGCAAACCCAGGGCAAAAAGAAAGATTCCGGAGGCCGCCGAAGTCATCAGAGTTCCGAATCGGAGTCTGCAAATGCTGCCGGGTTGTTCAGACCTGGCGGAGGCCGACGCAGTCAGAAAAGTTCTGAGTCAGAGGGAGGACCTGGAAAACCTGCGCAAGTACAACCGCAAATTGGCCAAGGCAGGAAGAAGGACTCAGGAGGAAGTCGCAGTAAGCATGGTTCCGAGTCAGAGCCCCTGCATCATGTGAATCCAATGACCCCTCCGCTGCAAGCCTTTGCTGGTGTGCCAACAGCTTCGCCACCTCAGCTGCAACAACCGGTTATGCAGCCGCCTTTTCCTGCTTCTCAAACGCCTCAGCAACAACAACCACTGCAGCAGCCTCAGTTTCCAATAGCCCAACCACCTCAACAACCGCCCGTTCCAGCAGCAATGCTTGCGTCGCAGCAACAACCGGTGTCTCCCATATCCGGCGGCATGCAGGGATTCATTAGTGATATCGCCCCAGGAGCTGGTGCTTCTCTTGGGGAGATGTTCAAACCGATGGGGCAGTTCTCGCATATCCAGGCACAATTTGGACCTGGCGTTTCACTTCAACAAGGGAAACCCCCGCAACTCGTTTCACCAGTCACTGGTTTCTCGGATTCCTTCTCAGGGTTTGTACCACCTTCATTTGGTGGCTCACTTCAGGGACCCTCGTTGGGGCTTAACCCTAATCAACCTGGATTCTTTCCCCAAGTGCCTCCGCCACTGGGCCAGATGAAGACATCCCCGCAGCTTCCAATGGGAGGAATTCAAGGTCCCCAGCAAGGACCAGCTCCCAATCAAGGCATGTTTCAAGGTGGTCCAACCGGGCCCATGCATCAGCAAGGAGGTCCACAATAAGGGTGAACTCTTGCAGGAAAAAAACGATCATGCCTCCTAAATAGGTCATCGAGGCCTGAGCGTGGCAAGCAACATTTGAGTTCTGCGTTTTTTGTATGAGGCACGAGTTTGTAGCGAAGTATTCTCTTGTAACGAAGAAAATAAATAACTGCAGTAAAGCATAAAAAATGCAGCAATTTCTTTGCTATCTCAACCTTGTCCTTTACAAACAACACTTACACAGGACAGGTCTTACTCGTGAGTTGTCACTGTATTAATGCGGTTGTCACAGTAATGTAATGCGGTTGCTACGTATAAAGCTAAATTTGACGGCAGGGTTTTTCAGAAGTCACGGTTACCCAAGCACGGTCTGCACTCTACGGACGTTGTGACGGCCACGGCATAATATTAAGAAATTTGGACTCGTCGATACAGCTACGATCTTTGTGAAAGCATCTACTCTACAAGTAACGACCATGATTTCGCTACACCTCTGTGCGGCTTAAACCACGTCACGGTCGTCTTGGCCGTGACTCACTTTCGAGACAACCCGACATGCAACCAGAAGTACAGTGATTATACAGCCGACAATTCATTCTTGAAAGTAACATCGACAGTATTCGGACGCAGCAGTACGGTCACGAGATGGCAATTAACAACGTAACCAAAAGAAACCATTGCAGCCATTTCGAAGTACGGCCGATGACAATTCTACGGCCATGCGCAACTAGATATACATTCCGAAGAAGCGAGACTTAATTATAGATACAGAACGACCACCGTAGTACGGCTGCATTGAATAATGCGATCGTCATTACAGCAAAAAATTCTTCGTCATCGATACAGTCACGGTATAGCAACCGTACCACATCACAGGATAGCACCGCGAACTAAAGTTTCGGGAGAAGTAAAAAAGTTCGAACAGCGATTAAAGACTCGCAATTTTGAAGCGATTGATTCAATTCTTTGCTTAATAGTTTACGTAGAGTGATGTTTCCATAGTAATTAATGTCCAAGTTCTAAATTTAATTGTACGTCTCATTTTTGCAACAGTGATTTTGTAACATAGGATGTGCCTTGATTTCCCCAGTTTAATTGTATATTTAAAAGCGCTTCATCATGACCTTTATGTACATTTGCTGTGATTTATTCCTTTAAAGAACCTTTAACAAAAACACGCAATAGTGACCGTCTAGGCCAGAAAAACACTACCAATATTAACGAGTTTTCAATACAGTAGAAGAAGAAAATTTTTTTAAATACAATCAAAATAAAATAATAAGCGACAAACAAAACCGACATCATACATAAGACCATACATAGCAAGTACCCAGAGCTAGTTTAGAGACACACCCCCAAGGCCACGCCGGCAGCACCACTTACCTCAGGCAACCAAGCGCCGCCAACCAGTGACACCGACAAATAAACTCAGCTTACCAAGGCTCGAACCTACGACTAGCTCTTCTCATCTCAGTACCGCCATCACTGCGCATACAGTGGAGCTAACCACTGCGCATACAGTGGAGTTCACCACTGCGCTACTGTGAATACATGACACAAGCCAGCCATTAAGTCACTGCAGAACCACTGCATCGATATTAGCACCTCATTCTACCACCGACAGCAGTTAAGCCACTACGTCGAGCAGTCCCTCTCGTTACCTTCAGTCGCTTAGTTACATGTACACTGCACCCCTTCGTTACCCTCAGTCACTTAGTTACCTCTTTTCCTCATACTAGCAATGCTATTCCTACCAGAACTGTGAGTTAACCCTTTACTGCCCATGCCGACACACGCGTCCTGCCATTCACAATGCTATTCCTACCAGAACTGTAAGGTAACCCTTTACTGCCCATGCCGACACACGCGTCCTGCCACTCACAATGCTATTCCTACCAGAGTTGCGTTCTCTATGGCAGCTCTGGAGCTCAGTTGGAGCGGTTTGGTCGCGCTATTTAAAGCCCACAGGTGTAAACAACGGCGCTTAAACCTGTCAACACACCCCTGTCAACACATCCATGTCAACACACCCCTGTCAACACACCCCTGTCAACACACCCCTGTCAACACACCCCTGTCAACACATCCCTGTCAACACATCCCTGTCAACACACCTCTGTCAACACACCTCTGTCAACACATCCCTGTCAACACATCCCTGTCAACACATCCCTGTCAACACATCCCTGTCAACACATCCCTGNCACGCTAGAGTACGGGCGCTAGAGCACGGCCACGCTAGAGTACGGGCGCTAGAGCACGGCCACGCTAGAGTACGGGCGCTAGAGCACGGCCACGCTAGAGTACGGGCGCTAGAGCACGGCCACGCTAGAGTACGGGCGCTAGAGCACGGCCACGCTAGAGTACGGGCGCTAGAGCACGGCCACGCTAGAGTACGGGCGCTAGAACACGGCCACGCTAGAGTACGGAAACTATCACATCCTATACTATAGGATGTGATTAGAACCTAAAAAAAACGGAAGCACCTAAAGAAGAATCGTGCACCTTTTCATAATGTGCATGGTTCACTTAGTCTTTCTTTTGCTAGTTGTTATTGGCAGTTGTCTCGTTTTCTATTGCTTTACCCGACGGTCCGGCCGTCCGGGATGAGTAGTGAGACTAAAAAATCACTAATGCAATAGCGAGTATAGTCTATACTCGCTATAGCAAACGTCTATACTGCATAGACGTTTGCTTTAGAAATAAGTGCAAATATAATTTGAAATAAATCTTCAAGGAATAAGGCAAGTTTACTGACTTTTCTCTATGAAATAAATCACGGAACATAGAATTTGAACGAAATTATCTCGCGTGTATAATCTGGACGTTTGCTCTAGAAATAAAGGAGAGGCGGTGCTTGCAAGCAGCCGCTGCACGCGCGGCGACTCTAGAAGCCAAGCCCAAAACGCCGCGTCATCGGCAGGAACAAACAATTGGCCTTTAAATCAACATACTTATGAGGCTTTAAAATTATATTAAATAAACCTCACCGTATTTACTATGTTTTAATCTACACAATAATCGTGGAAGCACAAGTGTACCGTTTCGGAAGGCACACAAACGTCACGCACCGCACCTCACGCGCGCCATGAAGACACTGGCGGCGCCATGTTAGAGCGGGACAGTCTATATGCACTCCCGTGGGGGAAGAACCTTCGCTTTATCATAAGGTTTTATCTCATTCGAAATTCCAATTAAGCCATTTTAACTTAACGCAGGTTAATTTTACAGTCAACAACAATGAAGTTCATTGTTCCATACATGTTAATGAATGTGTAATAAGTTATATTATTCCTACGTAAACATGAATTGCCACACAAACTTCATCGAAATTCCGTACATGCAGACGCGACGTCCGCGTCGTGCGACGTGCTGCATTCACACACCCGTTAACCCTGCGTGCTCGTATCGTGGTAACTCGTGAATTTTAATATTGAAAGAGTTCTAAGACTTAAATAAGTTAAATAATATTTTGGATTACGAATTTGTTATTCCTGCCTAGAGTGTGGGCAGTAAAGAATTGCAATGTTATTACTACCTGAAATGAAACAATTAAGCAGTGCAATGCAATTCTTACCAGAAATATGTTCATAAGTAGTGGCGGTGGTCTAGGAGGTTTATAAAATCTACGTGGTCCAGATTTTAGCCGATCGTGGACCAGATGTTAGCCGAGATTTTAGCCCTACGTGGTCTAGTCGATCTATGTAGTCTAGATAGTCTGGGACTCTAGGTGGTCTAGGTTCCTTGACTGACCCGAACTTGAGGGCTGCGGGGTCTCGTATGACCAGCGGGGGTGCCGGTGGTCTGGCGGGGCTGGGGTCTGCCGGGATAGCGTCACTGCAGTCGTATACCAGCGTCTCCACCATAGACCCTTTGGATGACCCGAACGAGACCCTGGGCAGGGAGGCTGCATTAATGTGGAAGTAGACCATGACGGGATATTTTATTGATTAATTCGTATTGTATTTGTTTAGCTAGACCCTAGCGCTAAATCACATTACGACTATAGAACAGACCCTTGGCACCAAATCAGACCTTCGAGGTAAATCAGACCGCAGAAGTTCATATCGAATAAACCAAATAACATAGCAACTAATTTAAAAACAATTTCGACACAATACTCAACTTTCGACCTCGCTAACAATACTAAGCATTGCGGGATGAACTCATATCATCATCCAGCATCATTCCATAATGATATTATATAATAATATTCATTAATAATATTCTATAGTAATATCAACGCATCTGTCTTCCTTAATAATAAATAAACGTCTTCTTTAATCTGTCTTCTTTAATAACAAATAAACGAGTAATTTAAATACAAAGAAAGTACCAAGTTAATTCATTATATTCATTTAAATCGTTTTCAATGGAAATAACGGTTAATTTACTTGGCATTTTTGCTATTAAGTTGTGAATTGTATGTTAGAAATTAAGATAACATATATTAAGAAAAAAATATTATAACTTAATATTTATAATTATATATTATATATTGCAAAAACGTCCAACGTGCGTCGTTACCGCACGATTGCATTCAACCTTCAGGCCGCCACGCCGCCACGCGTAAATAATAAATTTTACACCAGGTTTATTCAATGATATTTTCAAATGCGAACGTATGGCAATGCAAATAACAGTTAAAGATAAACAAGTAATCTGATGTAGAAAATATAATAGACAAACTACAAGCACTGGACTGGAGCACGTTATTGTAGTTGTACGAATAACAACATATTAAAGTTAATCTCGTTTCAAAATAAGAGAGAAACCCCGTCACATAACAGAAAACAAGAATTTGAGTGGCGCACATAGAAAACGGAAATTTTTGGGGAAACTAAAATATTTAGACAAAAAATTTGTAATGCATGACAAGGTAATACATCTTCATCTGAGGCTGGCACAAGAAGACTTTACCGAACATTAAAAGTCTTGATCATTAATTTAAAAGGTTTTCTTCCACACGAGCTTCATCTGCATGATTTTTGTGCCCAGATTTACAAATAATAATAATAATAGTATTACTATGATACAAGTAGCTTCACTTCATCGGCATGATATTTGTGCCCAGATTTACTACATAAAAATAACATTACTCTGATGCAAGTCTCAAATGTATACTAGCTAGTCGCTAGTAAGTAGTAACCATCAGTCTAGTGACGGTAACGTTCGTTACCAAGCAGTTAGGCA